GCCAAAGCTGCTGCTCTCATTTCTGGTTTGAGCTTCATCAGTAGTCACAGCCACAGAATAGACATCTGATCTGCCCCCCCAAAATAAAACCTGAACCTGGGTCTCATCTGAGCTTTTTCACAGCATTAACTGACTAAAAACAGTCAAACTTCCTGTCCTCCCTCTGCCACTGGAGGATTAGGAAAAGTAAACCAAATCCTTTGTTTCCCCATTCTGTCCAAACCTCATGATGCTGCTCCTTATTTTAGCTGCATTTGTTCACAGGTTTCTGTCACAGTTCTGATCAGTTCAGCTTCTGTCCTCCACAGTAAATGTGTGTGTTTTACTGAACTTGGTGGCCATTTAAAGACTAAATCCAGAGACATAAGCTTCATATACTGCCTTAGGGAAAGCCAATGAACACATAGTGCAGTTACATAATGTGGCCACTGGGTGTCTCTGTTCACCACAAACCTTTATGGAGGGAGACAACTGTCAAAAGTTTCATTTGTATTCTTCTATCCACAGAAATGTTGAACATAAACTCTGCTGCTGTTTGTGCAGAAGTTAATGCAGAATGTCTCCAAAAGGGGAGTCCCTCTGATAACCAGGCAATAGTTATTTTCAGATGATGATGTGGTTATTGGTTATTATTTAATGTACAGAGTCAGACATATAAAACCAGCTTACTGCATTCACTGGGGATGGAAACTGTGTCCTGCACAGCGTTCTGTTTACTGAATCAGGAGCAGAATCAGGTTCCAATAGTCCCACCTGTGACCTCATCAGACATTTGTCCACTTGGAGCCACAAACCTGAATTTGTGTCCACAGCAGTTCAGACTTGGTGGTCGTAGAAATTAGAGTTGTGTTCACAATGATTTAGACTCACACTCACACAGAGACAGTTTTAACCTGGAGTTTCTCAGACTCACGCTGGTGACAGCAGAACATTGTGTGTGTGTGTTTTTGTGTTCATTTCTGTGGACACACTTACTTCTGATAGCTCCCTGGTATATTTCATTCTTAATATACAGGCGTGAACATCCATATACGTATATGAAAAGTACTGTTTTTTTTTTTTATTGTAGAATACAACTAACAAAAAAAAACAGACAGAAAAACAGACAGAGTCCTGAAAGTCTGCCTGTAAAATAAAATAAAACACTCTGAAGTCAAGTCCCCTTTAACATTTCAGCTGATAAGGGGCTGAATGGAAGAATAAACCAGCATTTAAAGATTTATCATGAACCTGTCATCTGCTTTGGTATTCCTGTTTTAATAAAATGCAGCAAAAAAGCATTAAAATATCTGCACTTCAAGAACAAAAAGAGGTAGAATCAGTAATTATACAGCAGAAATGTGTCCTTCCTATTGTATTTTTCTGCAGTAAAACCTTTGATCAGTGCAAAAAAAAATAAAGAAAAATAATAAAACAATATTTTTAACAGAGTTCTGTGATCCTAAAGTGTGAGATGTGTGTTAATGTGCAGGAAACAAGTGAAGTCAGAGTAGAAAGTGGAAGATGTGGAGATGGAGGGATAGCAGAGCGACTCAGTGTGAGCTGAGAGGACAGAAGGGGTCAGTCCATGGAGGACATACCAACTCTGGGGGCCCTAGTGGTGGTGGACCAGCCGCCTGGTCCTCTGACTGGACGGACTCTGACAGAGGGAGCAGCTGACTGAGCAGCTTCTTTACAGGATGCTGATTCTGGAGTGAACAGGAATATTATACTACCGATCTGATGAGAAACAACAGTTTAATGATGAGACACAAACATCCAGACCTGTCCAGCTCCATGTTTGTCTCTGAGGAGCTCTGAGGGAAATGTTCATTATGATTTTTACATGTTTTAAAGTCACTGCTCACTGTGACCAAACACAAATCCGCTTTATCAGTTCAGCCAATGGATTAAAAACCCAAACAGAAATGGGGGTGAAGGGCTCATCAGATCAGGTTTAAAGCTCAAACTGCAGGAACAGCCTCATGACTGTTTTCTGGGAGTCTTTATTTCTGATTGGCAGCAGCTTTTTGTTTTCAGCTTTAAGAACTGAGAGTGAATGAGTCATTCCCTTAGTCTGCAGACTGCTGGCGTGTTGTTCTGCTGTAACATGATCCACACACACACCTGTACAGGTAGGACTGGTTTTCACATTCTAACATTCATGACCTTGACGGAGGCGACGTTTTCCTCTCAGGCGAAGCAGAATATGAAGGTAAATGATCAGTTTTTGTTGCTTTAATATGTTTAGATGGCTAAAATCAGCTGT